AATCCTGTCCTCCTAACAAACAGTACCTATCAAGCACACCTTCTACAGGTAGTCCGCAGGAAGCAGTTCCAGTTGTAGCACCTTTAAGACTATTGTTTATCAAAAAGCATTGTTTAAATTGTTTGAACATGATTCATTTGAAGTATTGCAAGATGAGTGGAATATTGTGGGTGAAATACTCTATTAAGTGCAGTTGAAACTAAAATGGTAAGAAGAATCTAAATTATTTAAAATGTCTCTCTCCAATAAATACATCATTGCCGCTGTACCATGAAGAAAGCTTTAATTGTTATAAGTAGTTGGGAAGGTGTATCAGTGAAAAATAGCTAGATGAGATCATTTTTAGAGTATGCTTTGTGAATTGGGACTTATGTAGCATATAAAGAATGATACCGGCCTAATACTTGCCTCATTCTGCTAATTTGTTTGTTTGTTACATGTTTTGTAATCGTCCATTCTCTCTTAACAAAGAGGAGAACTTTTCATGTTTTCTCGTGGCTGTTATTCTCACACATGCTGTTTCCACAGGTGTGTAGAAAAAGAGTTTACATACACTGTGCAGTTGCATCATGAATGAGGTGTCGCTTTTCTTCTGAAATGATTATGTAAAGGAAGGACAAAAATTAACTAGTATTACTATTATTACTATTGTTCTTCAACTTAGTACTTCAGAAGAATTTAAACTAAAGTAGATTACATATACAGTGAAAATCAACATTATAATTAACCAAAAAAAGTGCAAAATGTTCAAAATCCTCCAGATATTTAAAGCTTAATGTGTTAAATATTGTAACATTGTAGTATAACAACTGATGTTAAGGTTGAGAATATGTTTTTGTGGATAAAGACATAATTTCACATCTTAGAAGGCCCATCATCAGATATACTTCATTGAACTAAAAGAGAAAGATGCAAATCACGAAGGCTTGACTCTGAGTATACATTTCAGTGCTTAGAACTGTGGTACTAAGACATACTCCTCCCCTTCTACTAGTCTATGATAAATCATCTATTTACTTTCTGTTGCAGCAAAAAATTATACTCTCTCCAGAGTGAATATTTTTATGTTAATTTTTAAAAAAACAGTGATTCTGTTTGATGAAAGAGTTTAGTATTAATGGTGGAGTATTAGAAAGACCCTTAAGACATGTACTTGATTCTTAATGATATAAAATCTTTTTCAAGAGCTGTTCTTTGGTACTAGCATAGATGTTAGTGGGTCAATATGCTGCTGATCGAAACAAAACATGAATTCTACGGTTACCTCAGTGATAGCGATTAGCAGAAAAATGCCGCTATTTTAAAATGTGCTTAAGTATGTGTCTAACTTTAATATGCATGAGTCTAGAAGCTTGTTGTATTCCTTTAAATTTTCCTGAATCAGAGTCCAAAATGGGAAGGATTTAAATATTTTTTTTGGGGGGGCTACAAAGTAATTATTCTTTTTTCCATTCAAAAGTAACAGTATTTGAAGTATTTGAAAATAATCTTTTGGCTGAGTATGTCTCTCCTGGGTAATTTTCTCATATTACAAGTATACCTCACATTTAGTTATACCAACTAGGTAAAGGTGCTGAAACACTTTCCTTCCAATTCTTTGCTACAAAGGTTTGCAGCTACTAATAACCGTTATTTGAATTGCTTACCTCCAAGCTGTATCTTTATAATAGGATAAATAATAGTAATGGTGACATTGATAATGTTAACAGAAATATCAGAGTTCTGAGAAGGTTCTGTTCCCTTAAGTATTCTGATTGTCATACTAATTGTTGATTGAAGAACATGTATCAGACTAATTCTACTGCATATAGAAAATTAATCTTTCCAATGCAAAGGTTGCAATATTTATCTGTGGCAATATCAGTTGTATTTTACATGGTGATCCAAGAACTTTGATTTTGCATTTACTTTTAAAATTATTTAAAGATGTTTCCAAAATTATTGTGATCTATGAAATTATCACTGTGAGTATTTTCATAGACAGTGGCGTGTCCCTTTTGTGTCTGTCCCTAGAGGTTTCTTCAACAGAATGACATTTAGTTTTGCTTTAGAGAGAATCTTTCAGTCCCTTCTGTGTCTTGGGACCAGGAAGCCATATAACTGTCAGCTACAAGTCAGTCAAATGGGAAATGAAGAAAAAAAACATGAAAAACCATTGCTGCCACCACCAAGAACAACAAAAAATCCTCCAGATTATTTATCAAAGCAACAATTTTTTTTTTTCTTGTCTTATTTTAAGGAGTATGAAAATAAATGGTTTTCAGAACACACCTGCTGTCTGATATGATACTTCCAAGTATATACAGTCTTTAATGCCTAGAAGCTTGTATTTTTTATTTTTTTGCAATCAGTAATACTGTTGAGCATGATGTTTCTCCATTACTTTTTAATCAGAAGTGTAGGTTTTTAAAAGTTTTGAAATGTCTAAAAAAATCTGTGATATTTCTAATACTTGCCTGAATCATTTGCAGTTGTGCTAATAAAATGTAGTGAAAACTGATCAAAGATTACTGAAAGACAGAAATTCTGTGCCTCATTTAAACATGATTTATTTTGAGTCTTTTCATATATTATTATCATTCCATCATAGAGTAAATTTTATTTCTTGATGTATTTTCTTCTTTGATACTTCAATGCTGCCCTAAATAATTATTTTCTTCCAAACCACTGGATGTCTTGGTGTCTAACAGCAAAACCAGTAGTCCTCTAATTTTTTTTGCTTTAACAACCATTTCTAATCTGTGTGTAGCAGCGTGGCTTGAATATGAAAGGATTTTGTGCGTAAATGGAGAGAAAGCCCAGTGTTGGTTGTCTTTATGTTACAATTTTTATTTTTAAAAATTAAAAATATTACAGCGGACCGTCTATGCACCTTTCCAGTGTACAGAAGTATCTTAATTGCTTTTCTGTTAATGTTCGTTGTGGCTGATCAAGGACTCTCTTAGTGAGACACAGTTTCAAATAAGGTGAAGTCTTTTACAGAATGTGTGTGTATGTACGTATATACATGTTGTTTGAAAAATGGAAAATTCTAATCATATTTTGGATAAAAACTGTCATTAAAGCCAGGTGCATAAAGTTACAATTTCTATTTTTGAAGTGTTTTTCCTTCTTTCCATTCCATCTCCCAGTAGAGGGCGGTGTTGTGGAGATACAACCTATTGCTGTTGACATGTTGAAAGGAAAACAAACATTTTTAACACATCTCATATTTCTTCTGTTCATTATATAACTTACTATTTTCAAGAGGAAGAAGGGTGGACTAGAAATGGTAGGTGGAAATAGCAGACAAAGAAATTTGCATCCAGCACACAGAAAGCTAGCTAGCAGAAAAGTTGCATTCAGTCCCTTTTATGTTTCAAATGTTCTATGATTAAAGGCCCTCCTTGTTAAAAAGGGGTGATAAAATTAGCTGTAGCAAACCAGAAAGCCAGGCCATGTATTTACCAGTGTTTTTTTACATATCTCTGCTTACCTGAAAGAAAATACTATCTCAATTTTGCCCTTTAACAGAGTAATTTAGCTGTAACACTAAGTTCTTTAGAAGTTTTTCCATTTGAGACTATATCTTTTAGCCAGTCAGTTTGCTTTTAATCTGAATAGTCATAGTGGGTTTATATGGCAAGGTTTTGGCAGTGGAGGAGGGGGCTGCAGCAGTGGCTTCTGCGAGAAAGGATCAGGAGCTGCTCCCGTGTCAGACAGAGCCAGGTCCAGCTGGGTCCGAAACGAACCCACTGCTGCCCAAAGCTGAGCCCGTCAGCGGCTCTGGTGGTGCCTCTGTGATAGTATATTTAAAAAAGGGTAAAAAACACCATGGAGCAGCTGTGAGAGAGAAGAGTGAGGAAAATGTGAAACAGCCCTGCACACACCAGAGTCAGGAGCGAAGTAAAGCCAGCAAAAAGGGGGGTTGAGGGAAGCTGGTTTTAGTTTTGTTCTTATTTCTCACTGTCCTAATCTGTTGTTAATTGGCGTTACGTAATTTAATTTCCTCACGTTGAGTCTGTGATGGTAATTGGTCAGTGATCTTCCTGTCCTTATCTCAACCCATGAGCTTTTTCATCTTATTTTCTCCCCCTGTCCTTCTGAGGAGGAGGAATGAGAGATCAGGCTGGTGAACACCTGGCAGACAGCCAAGGCTAACCCACCGCAATAGCTTATGTGCTGCAGGCATATTGATTTACTTATAGCAGTCTCCTAATGTTAAGTATTTTGGAGCATTAGGTACAGTAACTTTAGTGTGAAAATGTCTCAGCATCTACGGTATTCCAAGTGAAGACTCCCCTGCATTTTCATCATCGTCATTAAAGAGTTTATTCAAATATGTCTAAAATAATCCACTTGTGCATAATTTGTAAAGAAAAAAACATGCAAAAATTCTTGGGGGGACTAGAGCAAAGTTGATGAGGAAACTGCATGGGAGTTTAGCGTCTGCATTGTGCAGAAGGTCAGATTGCGTTTTTATAACACACTCTTCTAGACCTTAAACGTAATATTCCCCTGGCTTGCTTGTTTCTTCCTCTTTGTAGAAAAACCTGTGCAAAACTGTAACTGTACTCATATGCATTTTGTTTTGAAGAGCTAAAAGCTAGGACTGTATGTGCCTGTAAAGAAAGACCTTTGGGTTAGGTGGATATTACAAGAGTTACTTTTAAAAAGAAAATTGTGATGCCACTAAAGAGATATGCAGTCTCTGGATACCACATGATATTATGCTTAAAACTATCAAGAACACCTAATAGAGCAAAAAGAAATGCTGTAGTTTCTTTTTGGTCTTAATCTGTAGGAGTTAATCAAACAATGGAGTGTCGCTATCACATTTGTTCAGATAGTTTCTTCTCTTCAATGATCCTTACCCCACAAAGACATGAGGAGGAGGGAAAAAGGAAAATTTTGATTAGACTTGGTTTTCATATGTGGGATTTTTATTTTTGACTTTCTTTACTGCAAAGTGCAGCACATTCCGTTGCTTGTCACTTACAAATTCCTGTCTTCTCTTGCAGTGCACTTGTAGGAGGGACATGGTGACAATATCCATGGACATCTTTGTGAGGAAGTTTCAACCAGACAGATACCAGCTGTGGAAACAAGGGAAGGATTTATATACCATTGATCATACAAAACCAACTCCTGAATCGACACCTGAAGTAAAGATGTGGCTACAGAGGAGAAAGAAAATAAAGAACATTCCCAAGTGGTATTTATGCTTCTTTATCCTCCATTTAATTGTCTTCAATATGATGTAAATTTCCTTTTTGTTTCTTTTTTTTTTGCCGCTTTCTCTGAAGTTTTGTTTGAATTCGTTTACTTTAGATGAAGTTTGTTTTTCTGTTCTCTGTATTAAGATGAACTTGGGGACGAGCAAGTCTTTTTTTCAGAGTCACTATGAAAAATTAATTCAAGTTACAAGTTATATGTATAGTTGAAGTTAGTGAGTATAGAGAGCGTCAAAATGCATTCCAGGGTGGTATTTAGAATCTTTCTTTAGATGAGATTATTCCATTTGCAAGGTATGGATGGTTGCCATTGTTTCTAGTGACATCTGCAAAAGACGACGGAGAAATTTCCTAAGAGTTCAGGTAAAGGTTAAATTGGAAAAACTCATGATGAAGCTGTGGCAGAATCCCAGCAGCTTTGTGAAGTCTCTAGCAATAGTTCTAGCCCTTACTGCCATCTAGCTCCAAAGAGGTATCACTGGCTATCTGGCACACTGTCACAGTGCTGCAGCAGAAACCTCTCTGTGTCTATCACAGGTCAATCACAGATCATAATTTAGCATAGGGAAGGTCTAAACCTCAGTTGTTGGTGCTGACACTAAGAAAGTTAGGAGAAAAATGTTTCTCAGCTTCTCACTGAAGTTATCAAAGTTTTGACCTATTAAAGCACTTTTGTAGCTGGATCTATTTTCTTGGTGTGCATCATGTCTATGATTCTCTTTTTTGTTTTCATTGCAGAAACGTTTGTTGTACCCTAATGTTTTCCTGTCTTACTTAACAGGATCCTTATGGATTTTCTTCTTCATTATCTAATAAAGATATATTTAATTTCTAGCCTAGGGTGGGCAGTTTTATTGGTATCTACTTATGTGGAGCAGTTTACGGGGCTAAAGATAGTACTGAATTTTTAAAGATCTTTTTGCTCCTTCAAATCATTTTGCAATATAATTACTTTTTTAACTTGCCCTTAAACTGAATTTCCTGATTTTCTTTGTAATTTAATGTATTTCTTGAGGAAAATGGTAGGAAATTCAACCTGTAAAGAAGAGAACCAACTGCCACTGTAGTGGAACACTATAGCTGAGAAATGGGTTTGTTCTGGGTAAGAATGATTTGTGGGGTAAAATCAGTTTTTGCAGACAATCAGTGAAGCAGCTGGACAGCCAATTTGTTAGCATATGTATGATATGTATAATACTGACTCAGACAGAGAGAGAGAGTAATTCTGTTGTTTAGCTAGTTGAATGCCATTTTGCCCTATAGTAAGTTTCACTGTATGTATTGTACAGCGTTACGGCAAGTTCACACTGGGACCAGCAGTGATTCATTTGGTAGAACCCCTTATGGTCAGCCACTTTTAACTAAAAGCAAAGACCTTATAATAATTGTGTTGAAAGTTTTATCATAGGAACACATGAGCTGATTTCATGCACTTAGTTAAGCTAATAAACACAATCCCATTGCTGTTTAATTCTTGAGTTGGCTTTTGTTCAGGCTTGGTAACAATGAGTATTGCAAAGGGAGGATAAAATGTTTATTCGGCTTCGTTTCTAGTGTAATGTGTCGATTGAAATTGTCGTCATTTTGATTACGAGAATAATACAAGTTCCTGCAGAGTGAAAATAGAAATACCATTTATAGAAATCTTCATGAATGTAGTGACAGGGAGAAACATGGCTGAAATACTTTGCTACAATAGAGCATCTAATAATTGCATGTAAACAGTGATAATACTTGCTGTTACATTACAATGTGAACTGATGGGCATCTCATACTTTGTCAAGTTTTCTGGAAATTACTATTTCATAGAAAGCGTGTTGAAAGATACACATTGGTGCACATAAGATAAAACTTAAGGGGTAGTAAAATGTTTTTCTGGACTTCTCTATATTCTTAAGATGCAAGACCTTTGTAAAACTCCTGGTTTACCTGCCATAGTTGGGCTTTTGTCACTAGTGTGTTATGAGTTTTGAAACCCAATGTGTAAAAATCTCCCACATCACATAGTTGAATTTGAAACTGGATTAATCTCCTGTTACTTTTACCCTGAGCACATAAATTACAAACCAGTTTCTGACAGAGGAGGCCATTTATCCTGCTTTAACCTTTCCCTTCTACTTCTCAGAGTGCAAAAACTTACGCTGAAGTTCTAATTTCAACTTTGTTTTTTACACAGCATTATGAAATGTATTGCTTGATATTGTAGCCATTCAGAATATTTGGTGATCAGAATTTTTTCTTATTTCAGATGCTTGTTGTTTGTATTAAGATGCATATAAAAATTTCTAAGAGATCTAAACAGATCTGATATTACAAGGGTATTCAGACTTGTGTTTTATTAGCATTGGGGTTTGGAAATCCCCCCTGATTTTAGTGTAACTAAGAATGTTTTGTCTTTGTTACTTTTATAAGGGTTATTCTCTTTCAGGTTCAAAAGAATGATTCATTAAAAAGATAGTTTGGATGCTGGTTAAGTAATAGTTACTTAAGGTTGTTTTACAGTTTAATAACTTTGCCATAGAGTGGTGATAAAAGATCGGAAGGTTAAATCCAATCAATTGTTAATCTATCACTTAATAAATTGTAAACACTATCTCAACAAAAAAAAGATGAAAAATTGTCAGTTTTTAACCACTTTGAGCAGGTGAAAGGGACATATATATTGGTAGACGTTTTATCTTATCCAAGACAGACATTCTGCTCTGACAGCAATATCTCTTATAACAGCTTCCAGCACACCAGATCCCGATCTAAAAAGCTTAAAACTCCAGAGGACAAGAGAGTATCTGCTATGGAAGCTGGTGCAGAAATCATAACGACTGAAGCAGCTAGTGATGGCTTCAAGGTCAATGAAGAACCTGGAGAAAAAATGAGACTGGTAAACACAGGAGTGCCTTCTGGGGAAGAAGAAAACAGTAGTAGAATGCAGCTGGATCAACATGTATTGGATAATGTCAAGGTTGCAGGTAAGATAAGGCCTGATTATGTTTCACATGTAAGTTGTAGGCTGTTGATACTCTAATGCCACAAATCAGTAGATGTTAAAGCATAATATTATCCTAAGTAGCATACTAAAATACTTACCAAGTTATGCAGAGAAGATTGATATCTAGTAAGAATGAGAAAATGACAAAATTAATATTCTGAGCTGGGAGTAGTATCACCTAAACAGTTTTAATGGAGTGTTTTTTAAAGGGGCAAAAAGGATAAGGTTTTGTAAGTTATATTTCTTCAATAGACATAGGTTTTACAGCAAACTGTTTTATATACAGAAATGATACAGAATGTCTTACCACTTATGCAAACAGCACAGAACATACATGCTTGTAGTATGCTACATATATTTACATGAATAATGCTGCATATTAGACGTGGTCTATACTTGTGCACAAAGATGGTCTGTTTTGAGACTGCAGATTTCTTGTCACTTCCTGTTGAGCTGTCTGACAATGCAACTTATAAAGGCCTTGTCAGGCCAAAGATGGTTCTTTTTTCCCCACAACTATTTTTTACTAATATACTTGGTCTATTCTGGCCTTTATTTCTTCTTTCACATTTCATTGCAGTTAAGGTGTAGTTTCACATTCCTGTTCCGAAAGACAAACTGGAATTTTAACTTCAAGTTTGTGAGCAGTCCTGTTGGTTTTATATTGATACTGAAAACCTACCTGCAAATTGCATATAGAGACTATTTCCCTGATTGTGAATATTAATGGTTATGTTAATGGTTATTTGGTTGTGGTAAACACCAGGATTGATCCACATAAAGATAACAAAGGGAATATTCCAATACGGAGACTTAGAAATTCCTGCATGCAAATTAGTTGGTGATCTGTCAAAGCCTTTCTAGGTCTGTTCTAATGGTTGGTTGGTTGGTTTTTTTTAAAGCTGTTATTCCTTTATGTTTCCCCTGACTTTTAATAGAGGTTTGGAATGTTCATGACCACTGAGAAACTAGTATTTAGTCAGCAGCTGTTCTGTGTTCATTGCCAAAGGAAGGAAAAGCAGGGAAGAGTGGAGAGCTATCCTCTTTCCTTTGTACTATTAAAGGGTGGTGCCTGGACCTTCACAAGGAAAAGGCCTTTTTAGATATGGTGGTGGAAGCTCCCGTACTCACGTTGGAGATGGTTGTTTGTTCTGCATTATCTCTGGCTAGTACGCCCATTATGCTCGGTCGAGGCAGTACTCTTCATACCCAGAGATTACATTTTGGTAATTTGGTAATTTGGATTGGCTTTATATTAATGAATTTTAAACGCATTTGACCTGAAAAGGGAATTTTTCAGAAAAACAAGTTCAGATAACGATTGTAAAGAAAGAATGGGAAATGACTTTACAGAAACTGTTTTCTTTAATGCCTTGGATGTGCTGATGAATCAAAATTCACTGTGGTGTATGCCATAGAGTTCTTCAGGAACATGTTTTTTGGGTGACCTCTTTAACACATTGTTTTGTCTATCCCACGCAAGCATCATCAGATGAGGAATTTTAATAAAGTAAAATCCACACAATTTCACCCTTCAGCATCACTGAAATAGAAAATGATGCTAATTGTTGAAATATAAAATGATGCTAATTGCTTCTCATTTTTAGACTGGTGCTGTTGTTTTCAAAATATTCTTGGTATCTATTTGAAATATGTTTTCATAATTATAAACCATTAGTCTTTGTTTATTTTCATTTCTAAAACAGGCATAATAGGTATAAATGCAGGGTATAAAGTTCAATATACCAACCTTTTATATTATTTTTTTCCAACTAGTCAAAGTTCTTGTTGGCTGTCAGAGTAAACAAGCTACATGAATATTGATTATTTTGAATGACGTGAAGACCTGTTGTAATTCAAATATGACATACCAATTAAATGATTAAAACTATATTTCACACTCCAAACTCAAAACTTTTACATTTGTTTTATTCTTTCATCAAACCTATACTCCACATTGGTATATGTCCTTCTGCCAAATGCTTTTCTATATGATTTCTAAATGAGGAACCATGCTTTGAGTTTGAATAACTCAGATCGTTCTGAAATAAAATACGGTAATACAAAGTGAGTTTTATTAACAAATCACATTCTTCATCTATAGGAAGCATCCATTCAGACTCATTTTCGAGCCCTGTTCCTGCACTAGAGAAAACAAAAATGGAAGATGAGGACAGGACAGATTCCCAACATTCTCTCTTTACATGTGAAGATTCGGTGGCCCGTGTGCTCGCTTCTGATAGCTGTAGAAAAGAAGAGAGTTTGAAATCTCAGAATCAGTCTGTTTCATCCGTACCATACCATAAGTCAGAGGGACATGCTTCTGAAGCAGAAAACACAAATAAAGAGGAAAATGTCTTGATAGAGGGTGATGTCAGCAACCTAGAAAGCTGTGGAGATAGCTTGGAACACGGAGAAGTCCCCATTGTAAAAAAGGATGAAGAGGATGGCATGGAAACATCCAGTGTATGTGAAGCAAATTACATCATTACAGTAATATATTCCTGATTTAATGAAATGTGAATGAATGTGTTTCTAATGAGACCTGATATCCATACTAAAGCACTTAAGAATATGCATGATTTTAATTAGATGCTAATTTGAACATGTTTTGAAGTGTTCAGGCAAGAGTGGGAATTTGGATTCAAAAGCAGAATGTTTCTGGAGCTTGCTTGATGACATATTTTCCGTCAGATTTTAGATATCTAGTAATTTCACTTTATATCTGTGAATCTGAACTGTCAGCAACTACTCTCAAGCTATTCCCACGTTTGCTGCCTGCCAGTATGAACAAGGCTATCAGCTTTAATTATTGCTGTTGACATGAAATTGAAATTATTAGAGTTGAGTGCTGTATTTGGTATCATGTATTTGTGTTTCAAAAAATGGCTGTTTTGACTGAGTCTTAAGGAGAGTTAACAGTATGCTGGTAAAATGTCAGCAGAATGGGCTGATTCTGAGATACTTACGTTCAAGGACAGAACATAACAGCGCATGGTAATTTATTTTTGGACTAATGCCCTTCTCAAATGAAGAAGCGGATGAATCAAAGCTCCGGAGCATCTCTGCACTGAGTTAGGTGGAAACAAAGTTTGCTTTCATTCTATTGTATTATTTAACATAGTTTATTAAATCTTATGGGCTTTCTTGATTTGGTTGAAACTGTCTCCATAGTATTGAAGTTGGAGAAGGTGAATCTTCAAGACATGGTTATAGCAGTATAATACGGACAGAGTGATTTCAGGGTGTGCAACTTGCTATTCTTGGATTTTTGGAAATGGCCTAAAACATCTAAAGGAAACACTTGAAGGAGAAGATCCCTCTAATGAAAGGAATATATGTTTAATTTTTAAATAGTTTATATTTTTAAATTTTTAAATAGTAGGTTTAATAATGTTTTCTCATTGGGGCACCTGCAAACTTAGTCTTCTTTTACTCTTGCTATTCTGCTATGAAGGGTGGGCAACGTTGACTTTGGGAAGCGCAATGAAAAATTCAGCTGTGGTGGTAGTCATAGTATCTTTCCGAGTTGTGAGTTCAATCCCAGTTTGGCAGAGAGAGAGCAGGAAGTCCACTGCCAGATTGCCAGATTTAGTGGGAAATGTATTGTAGAAGCCAAAGTACAATCGTGCTGACCCTTTCAAAGACATGAACTGTGCACTAATGATTTTTTGCAATGTTTTGAATTTTAATAATCTTGGCTCCAGCCCTTCCACTGCAATAATAAGGAGCATTATAAACATTTCAGTGCTTTAATCGTAATGTGTTAGAGATTATGTTTATCTCTTTCTGTGCCTTTCAGCCATTTATATATGAGGTTTTAGATATTCTCCAGTATAATTGAATACTCTTTCTTTCTCTTTTATTGTAAGTGAAGAAGCATGTTGTACAGATGCAATTAAAAAGTCTGATCTTCTTTCCCTTTTTACTTAGTTGGTATTTTTTTCTAGATCATAAACCTGTCCTGTGCTTTAACCACATCTTCCTTCCTCTGCTTATCACAGTAAATATGATGATGATGATGTTTTGCAGTTTACTCCCCATTTTATAATAGTAATTTTCAACCCTCAAATCAGTCAAGGGGCATGCGTGCAACCTGTTAGGTTAGATACAGGGTGTTGAGGAGCAGAATGCTGTGGTCCATAGGAATGGTGTGAGACTCTGTCCTTTATACCCTTCTTCCAGTGTGCTTGACCGTCCTCTGCTCCTGAACTTCCAGATCGTGTCAGCAGCTGGTTTACTTTGTGATTTCCCCCACTGGCACTGAAATCTGGAGTTATGAAAGCTGCACTTCTAGAGAATGTAGCATTGGCTTCAGTTCTTGAAGCTTGGATAACTTCAAGCTGAATGTACATAAGAGTGCTTAAGAGAAGAAAGACTTCCCTTATATCCCAAATCAACATGTTCATCGCATGTCAGGAGTCTTAATCTCTTATCTCAACTGCAGATTATTTTTTTACTTCCTCAGGAATTTTGCACTCTTTCACAAATGAAGTCAGTGGATTTCTGCCTCATTTTCCCAGCCACAGTTAGTGGCTGCATAGTAGTTCTGGTTCTGCAGAATTGTTTGGTCTGTTGTTCCTCTCAAACATCACCTGAACAAACCAGGATTTATACTTTGTAGTTTGGGAAGGGTTGCAGTAATGTATACCTCAAACCATTTGTGTTTGACAAGGATGGCTCATTTTTAATTAAAGTATATATTCTGAATTACAGAAAAATGTTTTAATTGGTACACTAAAGGTGCTTCAAGTACCCTGATCATATTTACAGAATTGACATCTGTGCTAATTTACAGAAGAATGTTTTGGCTCATCAAAATTAATTTTGCAGAAGTACATACTAAATCAGTTGTGTTTTTTCCCTTTTCAGTCAGTGGAAGTTGAAAGAAAGAAAATATCTAAGAGTTGGCGTCATCCACTAAATAAACCCCCAGCTAGATCTCCAATGACTTTGGTTAAACAGCAAGCAACTGATGAAGGTGAGCATACTATTTAATACATTTTTCTGATTATATTTTTTCATCTTTATGAGACTATATATATAAGCTTTTGCAAAAACAACCAAGATGAAATAATTTCTTTTTTAGGTATAAGCCGTAATCCCCTATACTGCTTTAAAGCTACTTTTTCCTTGTTGTCTGTTTGTTGCTAGACATTGGACCTTTGGGAATCAGTGTCTTAATATACTATACTTCTGGGTATCATCAAAAACGTATCAAGAGTCTTTACATATGTCTTGATTTCCAGGCTTTTGCTTAGTTTCATATGGAAAGAATGAAGATCTCTCTCCCTGTAATTTTGGTAAATCAATTTTAGTCTATGGATTTAAAGTAGTAATTTAAAAGCTGATTTTGATGCGTATGTCATCTACATGCCTTATGTCTCTATATATGCTTCTAACTGTATCTAAGTAATGCGCAGGTTTGCCAGTAGTGAATAGAGTGCAAGACGTTAAAAGTGAGTACCGTATTTGCACAAACAAAAAAGAGGTGGAAAAATACAGTTCTGTTTTTAGACAATGAAAATAACCTGTGTGTATTAGAAAGCAGCAAAAGGTATCCTCATTGTTTCCCCAGCTGAACAATTACTGGGAAATTTTCTTAAAGCAGTTTCCTGCTTACTTTTAAGTGGCACAAAGCAACTGGAAGCAGGTTAAATGGCTTTCCTGGGGTTCTGTTAGACTGGGCTTCTGATTTGGCATTTAGGTACTTTATTTATTTATTTATTTTAATGCTGAATGGTGACCACGGTATTCCATTGTTTAACCTAATTGCTTAAATAAGAAATATAACGTTAGGCAATCATTTTGAATATGCTTGTCCAGATCTTTGCTATGGATTGCAGATATGCATGCTATTGGATACTGTACGGCACTTCAAGTGATACAGTGAAGTAGAAATTAAGAAAAAGAAGCATGTGCATAAAAAATGATGATAAACAAGTGATATATAGAACAGAGATCTGTACAAAATAAATAAGTAAATAATTCTGCAGCTGTGAAATTTAGTGTTCTGTAACTAGATACCACAGTGATCAAAAAAGTTAAAACAATACTCAGAACTTCTCAGATACTCTTTTTGGGAGCTTGTGTGCTTTAATTTAGAGAGCCACCATCTTGTGCAGACAGACTACAAAAGCTAAGAAGTTTACCCAAGATAGGGATTTGCTTGTCTGAAGTAAATAGAAAGAGTAAATCTGCTTTACCCAGCAATCACATATACAGCCAGCCAAAGTTGATGAATAAAGCTACTTTATTCTATCAAACATGGCTTGTGAAGCTTATCGAACTGTGCATCAAAACTACCCATAAAAATGAAAAACAAATACATTTCTTTTTCATATTGCCCCAGCATTTGAGTTCTGTGATGCACAGGTTTTTCAGGTACCGTCCTCCTGAATCTCTTCAGTTAGCAGAACTGGAGATTGGTCCTCACACTCCCTTACGCTCTTTGGTACTCTGTGTATTACAGAATGGAGCTGATACTGTGTCTGTGGCTACAGGTCTGATTCCAGCGTTGCTGTATGCTTCAGTGTTTACACCTGCGCTTTGTACCTGCATTTTTTTTTTTTTTTGGAGTTCTTATTTTATAGTAGAAGTGATATAAGAGTCTTGCTGGGCTTCCTGGTCTTTTTTTTTTCTCCTCAATTATTACCTATACTCAATGGTAGCTGTTTCTTACAGCTACAGATAAACTTCCTTGAATTCAGAGACAGACGGCATGCCTGTTAATTGATTCTTCTTGTAACTAAGGAATATTATGCTTTCAGTTAGCACCAATTTAGGCATTGTTGAGCTGGGTGCTCTAATTTTAACTGGTCTCTCATCGATACATCTCCTTCCTTGTTCCACCCCTAAAGTCGTTGATTTGTTTCTTCCATCTCACTAGTTTGAGAAAGCCATACTCTCTCACTTTTTTATCTGAGCCTCGGTTTTGCCAGGCACGATACTTCAATTAGCTGTTAAGCATCTTTCTGAAAATTAGAGACAGCTTAGGCCCATGATCTGTATCATACATGGATATGTTTGAATACCTTGAGGGCTAGACAAAGCATATTTCAGAAAGTGTTACGGTAATTTGCACAAAAAGGATGATATTAATATTAAGATTCATCTAGTAAAGTAATTAAAGATTTAAATATGTGGTAGGTTGCAGTGAAATTGCTCTTTTTTATTTAGTGATTATATTCCTTTTGCCTTCTGATGCTTTTTCAACATTATGGTTAAAACACAGGGTAAAATTCCTATTTAAGCAAGGGTTGTGTATGATATAATCTGGCTAGGTGATGATGTGATTACACTGGTTTGTTAGTCTCAAGGATTCTGTTCTTTATTTGCTGTCTTATCCAGTAGTTTGTCAGCATCCTGGTGTCTTAATTTTATGTGAAGGTAGTAGCATCCCAACAAGAAGTCACATACCTTCCAGTCTTTCCTCTTACATGATGATTGTCCTTCTAGTAGATAAGGGTGTATTTTTGTTGGGAAAGAAAACGTTGCCTTAGAATCATTTCAAGTACCTATTAAGCACTTGTCTACTTATTGATTGAAGGAAGTAATTAAGAGTTTTATTGGACATGACAGTTATTGGTATTTCCTAGCAGGAACTGGAATTTGATATTATTTTCGTGCATCTGTTCCTCATTGTAATCTAATTTATCAGCATGCTTTTGTGAGAACACCGGAAGAGAGGCAATAGATTTTGGGTGAGCAGAAAGAATGTTTACATCCAAGACAGAGATTGAAGAACTGCTGAGGGAGACTGGGAAACTGAATCCTCATTAGCTTGCCTGGCACGTGCTGACATGAAGGTTAAAGATCTGGGGCTAGATGAATGCTAGTCAAAGGAGGTTTTTCTGATGGTGTTCGAGAATGTTTGTTGTCCAGTGTCAGGGGAGTAATCACTATCAATGTACCAATGACGATGCCCCTCTTTATGAAGGCGCTTCATCCATACTCTGGGGTTACTAGAAACATAATTCAGCTTGGATACTTACTCAGTTCTTGTTCTTTGTGTTTTTTAAATAAAAATGATGCCCATAATGGCTATAATATTATAGTCTCTTGGTACCATAACTTGTGAGTTCGTCTGTTCCTTTAAAAGGAGGATTTGTGTCTTGATACATTAATTTATATTTTCACTTATCTGAGTCCAGTAAAATCATAAATGTAAATGAAATGGAGGAAGAAGATGATATGGGCTAGTGCTGTTATGAAAAATTAAGAAATTGGGGCTTTATAGTTCATCGGCAAATCATATCAGTTTCCACGAGTTGGGTAGTCTGTAGCCATTTCTAATACAGATAATTTATATTAAAATTAATATATTTGAAGTCCTTCAGATACTAGGGTTCTATTAGGAAGTTTCTGTGAATAGAGGTGAATCAGAGGCTGTTGATAACATGAAGGCAGCATTCTATGACATGTTCAGCCATTTCAGAATCATAATTTTGCAAATAGAATGCTATCATATTTAACAGCATGCTTAAATCTTAGCAGAGATTTTCAGCAGAAATTTGATTTTTTTGCACAGGATCGCATGGACATTGAGTTTTGTGTTTTCTTTTTATCGCTCATATGCTTCTTTATGCGTATGTTTCTTTATGATCTGAATGTTTCTTCTACAGAAAAATGCGTATGTTTCTTTATGATCTGAATGTTTCTTCTACAGAAAAATTATTGGGTTAATTGTTTCTTTGTGGTCTACTGGTGTTAATTATTTTTTTTTTATTTAACTGTCCCTGAAGCCTTTCCCTATGTATGTCTGACTACTGAGTCTCCCTTATTATGATTGCTTTTGTGGAATTAACGCCTAAAGGTCTGAGCCATGAGAAATACTGGGGACCGGGGAATCAATCGCAGAGATTGTAGCTCAGGCTGCCAGTTTAGAAAAGTGCAGCAGTACAGTGTGATTTGTATGTCACGGTCAAAATACTAATAATTTTTATGTAATGAACCTTGGTCTTATGCTCAATGCAGTATGTTAGCTTGTTGTAATATTATTCTTTTGTATTTAATGCAGTTGGAGTTCTGCTCACTTAAGCAATAAAAAAGCAAATTCAGCAGAAGGAGAAAGCATACTGACTTTGGATGTACATTGATTGGTCCCAGAGATTTCTTTCCAGCAATATGTGGGCACGCAACATTAGAAACTGTTTTTAACTTCAAGTAGACTAAAATTTCCCATTGCCCTAAATGATATAATAATAGTGTATAGATTGAATTCAATATGGGTTTCTTTGTATACAGTTTTTGGTGTTTTAAATATGATTCAGAAGTTCAAAGTAATTTTGCTTTTGTTACTTTGTAAGTTAAGGAAACAGAGAAAACTACTGTGAAATGAAAGAGTGGCTTGGACAAGAGTTTGATTAGTGAAAACTGCTAGTTCTACAGCTGTAGTTTTCCTTCTACTATGACACAAAACAAAGCTTCTTCAATTTTTACATTCACCATCAGCATCCTGTAAGATGTGCTTGAACTGATACTAGTAGTCAAGCCATATAAGGCATGTTCAGTAATGTCATATATAGGTTAATCATGCTGAAATAGGGGAAAATTACACTTGTAGATGCAATTATGATTCTTTTCCTTCAGAGCTTAAAATGCCAGATTCTGCTTGAAGATTCTTACTTATTTCAGAAAGAAACATTAACTCTTTTTTCCTGGTGTGACTTAGGAGGTAGAGAAGAATCTGTTAACCAATTGATAGAGGCACATTTATTTTTGGCACATTAGTATTACAATTGGCAGTATTGCTTTCACTCCCTTATTGTATTAATTTACGTTTGGAGTGGAGTTTTACTTCTTTAAAAATACTTTGCTCTTGAATGAGTGTGAGTTAATCAAGTACAGAATCTGCATTTTTCGTACATCATCATCTAGCATTGGAAGAGACCAGCACTATCTATGACTTGCAATGGTATTGCTATGTTAGATAAAAATGTTTTCTCTCCTCTCTTCTGGTTTGTTTAAATTCCATTTTCA